GTGCATTTTATGATACATACATAACTTACAAAATCTTGTAAAACATTTTTTCACAGGATACTGTGAGATTTAAACAAACTACACTTTTAATATTATCTGAATATCTGATCGTCTCGGATGAAGAAGAACAACAGATAAGAGAAAAGTATTCCAATTTAAATATTTAAAATAATATATTTACATACTATATTTAAAAATACATTGTGCTTGTGTTAAAAAATAACAACATGATTTTAAGGTCTAAAAAAAGAACAATATACAAATGTAGACAAAAATACATTTTGTATGTATAAAAGTGATGAAATCAAACATTTTCAAATATATTATTATATTACGTGTATGTGTGTGTGTTATATACAGTTTAAGTTATATTCAAAGTGTGTCTGCTGGAAATTCAACTTTGCATATATTTAAATTACATTTTTAAATATATTGAAATAGAAAACAGTTATTTTATATTTTAATAATTTGACACTTTTTAAGCAACTAAATGCAGCCTGAATGACTTGAGATATATACACACAAATATATTTAATGGACTGTGTGTTTGGTCGGTTGAGGTTTGATGCAGCGTAGTTTCATGTCCTCCAGCGGATGAGTATTAAAGACCAGAGAGGGGATGCAGGCTGCAGATAGTCAGCATGCTATAAATCTCAGCAAAATGAACGATCAAATAATCACTCTTCAGAAATGAAATCTCCACACATTAATGCTACCACCCAGACACACACACACACACACACACACTTTGACAGCGTAATTACCGCACAAAATTATAATGTGGTTCATTGTATTTCACCTCCTTGTGTGAACCCTTTACTGTACAAAATACAGTTACTTTAGAATGTTATGACTTGAAATGTACCATGATCTACTCTGTCTTTTTATCTTTTCTAACATCTCTGCCTCTCATCCACACACATGCGTTCTTACAATCCTGAGAGAAAGAGAGAGAGGGAGAGAGGTGAACTCTGCTCCTTTGTGCGGGGCAGACGGAGGGAAAGGACTAATCACATGCACTCGATTGATTACAGTGATGATTAATAGGGTATATGGCTTTCATTAACAATTTGATTTATCACAGATCATGAGGCTGAATAATGGTAATGGTCTCCACTCCCTCATATCTCTCTCAGCAGATGAAAATCCAGCCCTTTTTCACTACTTTGTTTCCCCATTTCCTTATTTCTACAGATGGAAGGATTCATTTAACGGCCCTGGTTTCTCTTTCCTTGAAATTTCCATTGCATGAACCACATTTTTCTTTTTCTTTCTTTCTTTCTTTCTATTTGTTTATTTTATTCATTATTTGTGTGAAGTGTTTTATTACTATTATTATTATTATTATTATTATTATTTAAAATATGTAGAAAAACAAATAATGTCCTGGCAGAACATAACCAGTACCTTTTCCATAAATTATTCTTTCTTTCTTTCTTTCTTTCTTTCTTTCTTTCTTTCTTTCTTTCTTTCTTTCTTTCTTTCTTTCTTTCTTTCTTTCTTTCTTTCTTTCTTTCTTTCTTTCTTTCTTTCTTTCTTTTATTTGTTTGTTTCTATTTTTCTATTTGTTTATGTTTTACTTGTTTACTCCTAATTTTAAGGAGAAGTGTGTTGTTATTTTTTTGTGCAGTTTAAAAATAAAAATCTGCAGAAATATAATGTCATGGCAGACCATTACCAGGTCCTTCTCCGTCAAGTTTACCAATGTCTCATTCAACCATAAAACATTTTTTTTAATGCAATGTGTAATCCAACATATGTGTAATTCACCTGTGAAAAATCAATACAGAACATTTTATGTTAACATGGTACATTGGGCCATAATTTTTGCAGATTTATTTTACCACTAGCTAAAACATAATTACTGTTTTCAAACAGGTTTCCCATAAAGCATTCTGCCATTGGGCGGTTAAACAGATAGTCCCATCCCAAACTCACGCCATTGGTTGAGTATGTTGCTAGTTGGGATGCTCACACAAACATGAATATTTTTATAGCACAACAGACCAACAGCACTGTAAAAAAAAAACTGTAAATAAAACAAGTACACTTTGCAAGGAAATACCATTTCCGCCCTAAAAAAATGCCATGTTTAATTCAATGTGTTACTTGTCATTTATAATTATTTGAGAAATGTACCAGTAAATTCTGAAAATTGTTTCAAAGTAAGACTTTTCATTGAGTGTTTACACTTTTCAGTGCTGCTCAACCTACATATGGCTTATACGCATGGTCTCTCCATATTTGGGGATAGGCATATTTCTGGGGATAAAATAAACTATTTTAATGTCCCAAAAATGACCTTTCATGCACATGTTGATGGAGTGTAAAAAGGTGTTCATTTAATCACAGATGTTCTTATTCCTGGATGCTTTTTTATACATGCCTGTGACCTAAACTGCATCAAAGTTTGGAATTCTTAGTGAATTAATATACCCTCAAGATTATTTCTGTGTTCTGGGTCACTTGCAGTCATAATGAAAACAACTGGGGTCTGAATGTATGGGGAAAAAATATTAAAGCATTAGGGAACAAGGCATTTTTCCTTTTTTTTTTTTTTTTGGAGGGAGGATAAAGCTTCTTTATGAGAGGCTGGAGAGAATCTCTTTTTGGTGAGGTCAGGCTGTCAGCACATGCACTGTAAGTCATTGAGCTGGAATGCACTGGCTTTACTCCCCCAGTCCTGCACACATGGTGATGTTTGTACAGGGCTGCTCCTGTACTCTCTCGCAGAAGACACACTGGATGTACACACACCGCGTCCTGCCAGCAAAATGACAGTGCTCAATAAATCTTGTTTCACATGTGCTGTGTGTGAGATACAGGTCACTACATTGTCATCCCTTCCAGATACCTATTTTGAAGCCTGCATGGCCTGCATATATACATGTATATATTGAATATGTACATATTTATCAGCAGCCACAAAAGAGAGAAAGAGGGAGAGTTTGGGCCATGCGCTTCACCCTGTCCTGACAACACTAATGATGTTCAGGACAGCGGAGGATGATGTCTGATTCTCTGCCAGGCCTCTGTGTGTGTGTGCGCGCGCGTGTGTGCTTCTTCTGGGGGGGTTGGCAGGAGAATTGTGCAACTAGGTTTTTGAGGATGCACACAGGCTCAGAGACTATGGTAACTCATTACAGTTTAAAGCAGGTCGGGTGACAGCATGAATCAGTCAGCATCTTCCATGCATACTGTAAGCGGGGAGCGAAATACAAAGGAGGAGAAGTGAAAGAGAAAGGAGAGAGAAAATAAAGTAGGAGTGCCAAGAAATAATGTGCATCGCAAGAATTTAGCCTCGGGCATGGCGCGCTCAGCCCGTGTCGGTATCATTAGCGTATTTATAATTCAAATGTATGCCTTTAATAATTCACACGCGCTGCTTTTCAAAGAGGGGCGCGCGAGATTATGTACAGACTGATGAAAGGAAGGAACTTTCCCATCTCTCCTGAAAAGTAAATAAACGACCTCATCATGCAATGCTCTCTCATGCTTTGCCTTGGAACATTTAAGTGCATATTTGCAATTATTTCGAAGTCCTTTTCAAGCACGAGCTATGTTTATTTTGCTGTTTGTTATTATTTTTGTGATCGCGTTTTGCATTTTCTTGTTGATGCATCACGCGTTTGAGCGTGTTTGCGTTTGTGATATTCAACTTTAATTTCGCCTATTGCATTTTTTTTTTTTTTTTTAAATTTGTTTGGTTTTCCATGGACAATGAGGGCCCGGGGCGAGAATTCAAATATGAACTCGTTCTCCTCGTGTAGTGTTTGCACGGTGGTTTTTGAAGACAGATGCACCGCTAGGTGGGGATAGAAGGTAAAGTGACTTTCAAATGGATTGTTGCGCTGGAAAGTACAGCACACGTGCAACTGGAGCCCAGCGGCAGGTTTGCAGGACTCTCGCTGGATCTGAAGAACTAAGAAAAGTATCGTGCGGCTCAAGCACATATCCTGACGGGTCAAGCAAAGGTCAATACTTTTGAAATTAAAGCGGATTATCATGATGGACCCATCATGGGCGAAGAACATTGACATTTAAAGGTAGTTTAAAAGCAAATTTAGGATTGTCTTTCTTTTAAAAAGTTACAATTAAAATACAATTAAAACAGCCTCATTAAAATTAAAGAATATAATTTAAATAAGTTGTTATTTTAGTTGTAAAGGCTATTTATTTCTAAAATTGTCTATATATTTATTAAATTACTTATATTGATGTTAATGATGACGCTTACCATCATTCCGTTAATCTAAATTAAAACAATGTATTATTATGATGCCGCACTGCAAAAGTTTATATGGGAATGTATCTGTTACACTTGGCTTGTGTTTGTAGCAATGTCGCATCTAAACACATAAACAATACTCACAGATCTTCTTAACGTTGGATCCTCGCAATTTTCAATCGAGTTTTTAAATAAATGCCTAAATGCCAGCATTCGTTTTTTTTTAAATGAATGAATAAACGGAGACTAATGTACCAAATGAAAGGAAAATAAAATATTACATTTTAGAAACATTACACAAGTTAAAAATCGAAGGATGTACTAATGCTGTTTAGAATTTGGCCAAAAGGCTAACCTTTGTTGTTTACGTCACTGTGTTGCTCGATACATTTTTATATTTAAATAAAATAAATATGATTTCTAAAATATGCGCTCATTTCCCCTTTTTGTTTTTTTCCTTTTGTTAATATAAGGGTAATTGTTTTGCTTTATGTAGAGGTGTCGAGCTGGTAACACCCACCACGCTTCCCAGGCTCAGTCTCTTCAAGAGGAACCTGCTCCAAATCACCAACACAATCCCAGTCGAGGCAAAGCGTGGGTCGCAAAGAGGGACTATGAGATCCGGATAGCCTTTCCTTGCAGTGTGTGCCATGCCAGACACGAAAATCCCAGAATGTGGAAAGTTTTGTTTCTGACTTCATGAAGTCTGTGACGGGAAAATTGCATTAGTTCGTCAGAAGGTCCAAGTGGAAGCAAATAGTATAACCTGTATTAGGTAAAAGTGTCGGGGTTTTATTGAAGTATATATCCGTCAATGTGCGTTTGGTAATACGCGTGCGTTTAATAATAAAAAAACTAAAAGTGGCTGTAAAGGAAGCGATCAGAAACTCTTCACTGGACATGCTCTATCATCTCAACGGATTACCGACATCTCAGTCCCCTTAAACCGGATGCACAAAGGGAATTAAATCACTCAGATTGTTTCCTCGTTGGATAAGATCACAGTTTGCACTTAACATCAACAGAAGCGTCACATGCTGATGGCTCAACGGGTACGTTCTCTTACAAATCCACCGCGTAAAAAAAAAACTTAAGTCTTAAAGTTTGCTCATAGTTTGTTTTTAATATTTGTGTAAAGCTATTTCATATTAGGTAAACACGTGTGTGTGTGTTTTGAGTTGGCTATGATACAGTTTCTGTCTGATGCAGTACGAAGACCTTGCCCTATATGGTGGCGGTATGGATGGAGTTGGGGTCCCGACGTCCATGTACGGGGACCCGCACGCGCCTCGGCCCCTGCCGCAGGTTCACCATTTGAACCACGGGCCACCGCCACATGTCAACCAGCACTACGGGGCCCACGCACCGCACAGCATCATGCCCAGCAGCATGGGCTCGGCTGTCAACGACGCACTTAAGAGAGACAAGGACCAAATTTATGGGTACTTTAGTGCAGCCATGCTTAATATGATAGTTACAACAATCTTTAATTGTTTAAACGGCGCGCTGGATTATTACACCCGCATTTGACAACGCAATTTATTTGTATCTACTTTATTACAGTCAGTACATTTCTGTGCGTATAGGCTATACGATCTTAAAGAATATGCCTGTTGGTTAAGCACATAGCAAATTCACCAATGCAATTCAAATAGTGAGCTGAATAATTAAACTTTAAAATAATGATGTTTATTTTTTATGAAAATAAGTATAGAGCGGTTTTAGTTTATGTGGCCGTCAAAACAATGCAAGTAAATAAAACTGTAATACAGTTTGTCAGAATGATTGCTCGCTTATTGATATAGTGTTTTGATCTGTTGATTTATGTACATGTTTATGTTGAATCTTGAAGGCACCCGTTATTTCCGCTTCTGGCGCTGGTGTTTGAGAAGTGCGAGCTGGCCACATGCACACCGAGAGAGCCCGGAGTCGCTGGAGGAGATGTGTGCTCATCCGATTCATTTAACGAGGACATCGCTGTGTTTGCCAAACAAGTAAAGTATTGATTGAAAAAAAAAATTTTTTTTTCAACGATTTAACTAAATATTCGGTTACTCAAATTAAGTGAAATACTGAAGGGGAATCTAAAACTGTTATTTGGGTTTGATGTATTTGTTGGGGAAAAAATCTGAGTGTTTTTGTTCTAACAAACTTGTGACATTTCTACAGATTCGGGCGGAGAAGCCGTTATTTTCTTCTAATCCAGAGTTGGACAATTTGGTAAGTGTTGTTTCGCACAGTTTTTGTTCCAGGTAAAGTCGCTTCAAAGGTCCATATGAGGAGTCTTTGAGGGAAAGAATGGAAGCTTTAGTGATTTATGAGGCCGCGTGTTATCAGAGGGCGTGGGGGTCTTTGCCCTGGGCTCCCTCTAAGCGTCGTCTCTAGAGGAACCTATTTACACTTCTGCTATTGTCACAACATTACAAAGCCAACACAATACCAGACGTGCCAAGTTTTTGATTTGAGTGTGATTTTTCGCGTGTATAGAATAACCAACGATGTTTGCTGTTTTAAGTTTTGTATTAGCTTGATATAATAACCAACTCTTATTATTGTTACTGTTATTATTATTATTGGTTGTTGTTAATGTTGGTATTTTTGTTGAAATATTTCATGCATTATTTTGCTCTTTCCTTAGATGATTCAGTCAATACAAGTATTACGATTCCATCTTTTAGAACTCGAAAAGGTGTGTTATCTATTTTATTCTCATTTTACAGTACTATCATTTTATTTTGTTCTCAAACAAATGTACAAATTAATTTTACATTTTTAATCAGGTGCACGAGCTTTGCGACAACTTCTGCAATCGGTATATTAGCTGTTTGAAGGGCAAAATGCCCATTGACCTGGTGATTGATGAACGGGATGGATGCAAGACCGACTTCGACGACCTCTCAGGATCCTCGACAAATCTCGCAGATCACGTGAGTTTTAATTGGCTTTCTATGACATCATGAAACAGGCTAATTAGATAGTGGAGCTGTTCGTATTTACAGTACAGGCAATTTATGGTGGAACATTAGAGACGTTTCCAACAAAGAAATAACTGCAAATCCAAATTCCATTTATTTTGTATTGTGTAAACAAACCTGGATAAGTTTACTGAAAGCGTTAAAATTCTTTGTTTTCTGAGGGGATAAAAAAAAAAATTAAATAACATTTTTTTTTAATAAAAATTATTATTTATTTACCTTAACATTTATAGTGCCTCAGCCATGCATTTGCCTTTTTTAGCTTCCTCCAGTATTCATCTCCACAATTTTAGGAAGAGGAGTAATTACTTAGTTACATATGCTAATTTATTTAAACAACATTATCTAAATCCATTTCTCTTTGCACTGATACGAATCATTAAGGCATTGCCCCAGGACATATCTTATTTTAGAAGAGGTATGATGATGATGATCATGTTGATGAAGCCCGTCGTGTTGGGTGCAGGTGTTGCAAAGGGTCAGGGTTTCCCCCCAACTGTCCAGCCCTCTGTTAGCCCTAATGATCAACGTTACATTTGCACGTGAATGCACTATTGTCTTTGAACTGATTGGATTGTTATTGTCAAGCAGGAGGGGAGTCTTTTTTCACTCAGAGACCAACAGTGTGTTCTTTACAGTTGTGCTTCCTATTATCAATGCACCTCCCAAAACAACAAAACCACAGAATTAAGAAGAACAGAATTTTACATTCTGCTTAGTTCTGTTCCAGGTCAAAATGGAGAGAGAGAGAGGCTTTTTTTCCATATTTAAAAACACAGATTAAAACAGGCGTTTTGTGATTTGGACTGATGTTAAACGGCCATGATAGTTCCTACATTACAGTGCTTCTATTTTCCGCCATGCAAAACGTTAGATGACCTTCCCCATCCACACTATTCCTGTAAATAGGCTAGATCTGAACCGCAGATGGCGAAGTCTAACCATCATACCTTCGCTTGGTCAGCTGAAATTTATTTGATGAATATGTACCTTTGTACACTTGACGATAACTGTAATCTTTTTTCATATTTTTTAATGCCTATGGGTGTAAACAGTGTTTACTAATCAAAGTCATGTGTCATTGTTCGTGTCATCATTGCGATGGTTCGCTGAGCTGGTTTTACGATTTTCCTGTGGACACAATAGGCGTTTAATGTTCTTGAAAGGTTAAGGGTCTAATTTAATTGACCAGATCTTCCATTTGCATGTCACTTTTTTTTTCCTTAATTTATATTTTGACCTGCCACTCCATATTTATTGTCCTTTAGCGCTGTTTAGCTTGTGGGTGAATATTTATTTAATTATTAAATTTTTTTAAATAGCCTTCAGGCTTTCTCACCTCCTTTTAACCATCAGACATCAATAGCCTGACCATTATGCAGCACAATAGCAGGATGTTCTGCAAGACAAGAGAAACCAGAACCAAAACCAGCAGCCAGATTGTAACTCTTTGACAATTTAGCCTCAGTTTGACACCTTTAAAATGTTTGGCATAGCAGCAATGCCAGTAGTGTTTCTGCAATGCTACTCGGTATAAAAGAGAGAAAAACATCAGGGTGGCGGCATTTTCCCCACGCAGGGCTTTTTTTCAAACAAGAGTGGGGAAACATCCAAGGCCCATGGCCTTTTGACCCCAAAGAGCATGCACTGAAGAAGGGGAAAAGGAATAACCCCTGCCGGCCTGAAGGACAGAGCACTTCAAATACTAGTCACAATAGAGGGTTGATATCTGGGGTGATCAGAGGCAGAGCTTGGGTTAGGATCAGGGACATCTACCTGCTGCTCCTCCAGGAGCCACTTTGGATCGGTGTTCCTCCCTTTATCATTCAAGAGATCGGCAAAGCAAACACCTTTTCCATTACAAGCGAATGGGGGGTGTTACGTCAGTCACCCAACTCGAGTCCGAAGGATTACTGGGGCTCTTCAAAGCACCTGTCTCTTGTAGGGGGGTCCCTTTGTTGCTTGCACATCAGTAGAAGTTGCTCTTGTTGAGAAACCTTTATGTTAGGTTAGGCTGTCTACTGTGACTCACCTCAGGGTGGGTTTTTTGCGAGAGTTTGGGATGGTAGTGGGGGGTTTTCCACAGCCATCCTAAACATGTGCGTGTTGGTGGGAATGCAGAGCCTAGAAAGGTCCATCACAAAGGCCGAAAGGGAACAAAGGGAAGCTGCAGGACATTCCAGGCCAGTGTTCACCTCGAAGGCTGCTGAAAGACACAGGCTGAGACAGGATGTTTACATCTATATCTGAACCTTCAATGGAGGTTAAATCCCAGCATGAAGTATAGTGGAATAACAACAAGTGTTAAGAGCCGATGCCTCTGCGTTTTAGCCGTCAATACCACCCAACTGTGGTCCAATCCCATGGTCCTCCAGATCATATCATGGCCATGGGGGACAAGAGATAAGAGCATCTAATCAATATGCTTTAAGCGAAACTATTAGCGAGAACAAAATCATCTGCGTTCGTCCAGTAATTATCCAGTCTGTTGCATCCAGTAGTCAGAATTATGGCCCCTTTGGAGAAGTATAGTTCGTGATAGATTGAGGTCATGGTGAGCTCATTAAGCAAGCAAACAGGATTTATTCTGTGATGCGTGCGGGGTGGCAGTCATCAGACCCGGCTAGTTTGCGCCGGGCCCCTTTGTCTCCGGGACATTCATCTATCTTCAGTTCATCTAATTATCAGCATCAGAACAATGCAGAGCGTTTTAGCTTTGGACCTTGTCATCTCTCAGATGCTGAAGGTACCGTGATGTGACACGGATGCCGTCAGGGTCAGCTTGAAGGATGTGGGAAACCGGTCGAAACATTCTACTTAGACTTGATGTGTGTTATATGCATTTCTCCACAGAACGCCTTCAGAAGTTTTGCTTTATATGTACGAGGGAAAGTGAAAAAAATGGTGGTAGATGGAAGCTAGAAACCTCTTCTTCTCCATGTCTTGGGGTGCTGCTTTTCGCTAAACAGCCCGAGGGCTTACTCCAGCCTTCCTCCAGGCTACTCTGGCCCCCCTCTGCGCTGCGCGTGCAGACTCCGGGTTTGGGGAGTGAGGTAGGGCTCAGGGAGCTGCAGAGAGCAGCAGCCTTTAAAGAGAGTGCAGTCACACAGGCTGCATGGGCCAAGTTGCCAGGGAACAGTCAGAAGTGATTAGCGTCGGGTTGGATCAGCCCCTGCGGCCTTCGTTTTCTGGAACAGGAGGAGAGAGGCTCGAGGAGAAGGGGGGGAAGAGAGTGTTTGAGTCTTCCTTAGATGTAAGGATCTCGCCCAGCTCTTTTTATCTATCGTTTTCCCCTTTTCTTTTCTTTTCTTTTTTCTTTTTCTGTAGTATCTTTCACCATTTCACCTTTACTTTTTTTACCCTAAAAGCCATGAGTTTTTTATACTTTCAGAATGTTATTTTTTATCACTCAGCACATTTTTGATATTTCATATTTATAAACACATTGAAAACTTATTTTTCTTTTATTCTTTTTTATTTCCTGTATTTACTTTTATATTGTTTCATTTTCAGTTTTTACTTTCTTTCCTTTTATTTTCACTCATTCTAACTGTTTTGAAATCTGATTTTCATAATCAAATGAAAACATCACATCACATATTTTCTTTATTTTAAATTTATATAGTTGTCTTTTTTCTTCTTCTCTTTCAAATAGCTCTTTTAAATTGTTCTGAATATAAAATATGACTAAGTATATTACTAAATATGAAGTATATTATTAAATATTATTAAGTGTTGCTAAACATTTTGCTATTTAATTTTCATAAACAAACTGATTTTCTTTTCTTTTTTTATTATTCCATTTCTCTGCTTTTTTCATTCCCTTTTAAATTGTTTCAAATATAACAAACAACTTTTTAGTCTCACTAACAATTTTATATTTGACTTGCATAAACACACTAGAAATTCATGTTTTCTTTTCTCTTCTGTATGTATATATATATATATATTCTCTTTGCTTTTACATTTTCTTTCCCTTTCAGAACATAATACTTTCTATTTTACAATATTCTTTCTGTTTTGTTAGTCTTTTTCTTCATATTCACAATGAAACCCTTACCTCTCTGAGTCAAGACTGTGGTCAACATGCAAACTCCTGAAAGCATAATGAGAAGAAACAGCAGTCTGTGTTGTGTGATTGTGAGCAGTCAGACAGTGTGAGACCACTGCCCTGCCCTTGACTTGCATTTGGATTACAGCATCACTCATATAGTAATACTTGGTGCTAACAACGTTGTGGTCAAAGGTTTGATTCCCAAAGACAGCATGAACTTCAATAAATAGCTAAAATAAGCTTTTAATCATATTCTGTGTGTGTTCACAACATATTTAAGCGCTTGGAAGGGAAGCGATGACTGTATTTAGCTGTAGTGTGTGTATGTGGCCACTAACTAAACTTAGTTACATCTTGAATGTGGCAACTGTAAACGGTAAATTAGTGGTTTAGCATCATAAGTTCTGTCCCTGCACTGTATACCAGTTAATAACTTCTAAAGTCTAACACCGTTTTCTCAACAGCCGCTATCAGGCTTTGCTTTATTGATGTTTTTCCCCAAGTTTTGACTTCAATAAATAGCTAAAATAAGCTTTTAATCATATTCTGTGTGTTCACAACATATTTAAGCGCTTGGAAGGGAAGCGATGACTGTATTTAGCTGTAGTGTGTGTATGTGGCCACTAACTAAACTTAGTTACATCTTGAATGTGGCAACTGTAAGCGGTAAATTAGTGGTTTAGCATCATAAGTTCTGTCCCTGCACTGTATACCAGTTAATAACTTCTAAAGTCTAACACCGTTTTCTCAACAGCCGCTATCAGGCTTTGCTTTATTGATGTTTTTCCCCAAGTTTTTTCGATTTTATTTTGAGTGCTAATTCAGATCAGATATTCTCTTTGCAGTGCCAAGTTTCCATTCCCCATTCAAGCATAGAGCCTGGACATTCATTACCCCATGTCAAAGACAGAACTCACATTGAATTAATAGCACTGGGGTTGGTGCAGAGCTTTCCTCGAGATCTCTGACATCGAGACAGCGAGAGAGAGAGTGGGAGAGATCTCGCTCTGTTGATTAGTGTTCCCTCTCACTGCATGGATACTCCTGCTCGCCACGGTCCTTGTGTTACTGTTGCTAATCAAAACAAGCCCCCCGCATTGCTCTTTCACATCGTGTTTGTGAGTGGCACTGGTGATCGGTCTGAATAAACAACTGGAGGTGAGGTTTTATCTCATTAAAGTGACTTTCTTCTTTTGCTTTTTCTCTCTCGTCCTGCTTTCACGCTGTTGTTTATCAGGAGATGGCTTGGATAACAGCTTGGCATCTCCGGGAACAGGGGACGAGGACGACCAAGACAAGAAACGGCAGAAGAAGAGAGGAATCTTCCCCAAAGTGGCGACCAACATCATGCGGGCATGGCTCTTCCAGCATCTCACGGTAAGAAGCAAATCAAGATCTTCTGGACAGAATTTGGAAGACTTTGTAAAGTGGGCCAGAGTCCAATGCATCTCTTGGTGAATTAACTCAATTCCACTGTTCTCAGCTCAGCGACCTGCATCCAAACTGCATTAAAACCAGCAGGGTGTGTTATTATCTGTCTCTCGGCCCTCCCATCTATTTCGCTCGTCAAAACCCAGGGCCGTATTCACCCCAGGGTGAATAGGTTTCTCCAAAACTTGTTAGTTTTGGACTGATTTGGGGCATTCTCAACCCCCTTGAATCTCGGCACATTTTCACCGGTCCACCTCTTTAAATTCTCACCATTCTCTTGCATCTTCCTGTTTTCCATTCTCCTTCAGAATTCCTGCACTTTCTAAGGGCTACACAGGTCCTGTACACATAGTAATCCTTTCCCTTTTACCCACCTTTAGAGTTTAGAGATAAAAAAAGGAGAGCCTAATTGAATTATCCTCTCTCTGTTCCCAGCTCCTTTTCAGAGCGATTTGTGAAGCAAAAGTGTTTCCCATTGCAGGATGTGTCCTGACAAAAAAAAAGTGTTAGAGGGGACTTTGGCCTCTGAATGGCCCCCATTGCAACACCCAAGCGATCATGCATTCATTTGCGGTCGGGGCTGAATGAAAGCTGCAGGATTACGTTTTGTTGGGTTCTACTTTGAGCCAGTGTGCAACTTTTGAGATGGGGGGGGGCTCTTACATATGGTCTAAGCCTCCATCTTTTGTGACCTATTCAGAGGTCCGCGATAAAGACCCCCTGTGCTGCCAATCTTAAAGAAAGGTGGAACATTAAGATTCAGTGGAACATTACAGTTATAACTGTTAGCTGCACTGGAACGAGATAGAGAGATCTCCTTTGGCATGCAAATGTGGACGAGGAGGGGGCTTCTTAATAGACATAAGTGGAATTCATGCAAATATGAGTGATTCTTTGAAAGCGAGCTTGTCGGATAGCTTCATCTTTTGAATACGTAGGTTCCTCGCTAAACTTCAGCAAACAATCATGGCACAACCTGCTGAGAGCTTTTTGATAAGATGGATCGCAGAGCACAGCTCGCATTCGTCCGTCACTTGGGTTGTGTAGAAAAGGGGCGGAGCTTACAGTCATTCATCAGCACAATGACAGCGAGCAAGCCAGGATTTGAGCAGGGAAATCTCCGTCAGTGTGTGAGAGAGAGAACGAGACATGTAACTGGACCCATCCCTCACCAGTGACCACGGGAGGTGAGGCCGTGACAGTGCCAAAATTGGTGCACACCCACGACCCTGCGCTGTCTATATATTCACTCCTGCCTGCCATCTGCTGCCCTCCCTCTGCACTCACAGTGAGAGCAAGAGGATCAGGGGCCAGGGGCCACCGCGGGGCCACCAAGGGCCAAGCCCTATTCAACCCTAAACAAAACTCTCCATTGTCTCTCTTTCACACCCACTCGATCATTTGTCAAGTAATGTCAAATAATGTCAAACAAAACCACGAGCAGTCAGCCAATGAGATGCAGGGAAATTCTCAAACTCAGGGCTGCATATGGGAAGTCTATCATACATAATGATGTAATTTCCTGAAAGAGTCATATGGGATCCACGTTTTTGCCTACAGTCTCGCATGGGGCGGGTAGACTTGATGCTTGAGGTCATTAGTCATTTAAACAGATTCGTTTTTAAGAAAAAGTCAGGTCATCTTGATTTGCTTTATTGATGGAGAAGGTAAGGAGAAATACACAACTCTAAAAAATGAAGACATTTACATGTTCCATTCATTATCGCTTTATGGATCATCGGACAGCAATGTTATTAACTGTGGAAGTTTCTTACACATTAATATAATTTTTTTTGCAGCACCCCTACCCATCCGAAGAACAGAAGAAGCAGCTAGCGCAGGACACAGGCCTCACCATCTTACAAGTGAATAACTGGTGAGTGACCTTTGACCTTTGACTTTTGACTTGCCAGCCTGACCTCTCAGCACATAGAAGTCAGGGTTAGGGATCTCTGTAACATTTCCATTTCAAGTCCGGTGATCCTGATTTCTCACACTATTATTAGACGCTCTTCAAAGCCCCAATGAGACAAATAAAAGTAAGAATATGAGCAATGATGAGGTTTGCCCGGGGTCTCCGAGGGACTTTTAGAAAAGTTGTCAAATGTTATGTTGGCATATTCCGGAATGCCATTCGGTCACCAGAGTTCTCCTGAATGTTTATTCATTTAGTAACCATCTTGATTGCAAAAGATGCTATTGGATTACACAAATCTGATAATCTCATTGCTAGATTCTCAATGTATGATATGGAGCATTACAGACTGAGGCCTCTTTGTATTGTTTATTTAGATGGGATTTATTTCGACAGCATAATTCCACATGGCTACAGTCAACACTGTACTTATGCAGACAATTTTGATATTTACATTTGTAACATATGCTGATGTGTATTTACTGCAACAATATGTTCAATATGCAACAGTGTTCACAAACATTTGGCTAAGACTCATTGTCTATGAGTAATTCCTTCCCCCAGTGCATGTCAGGGGCATTTCCTACCTCTCTGTTACGGGCTGCTGAAGCATATTAGTGTCTGAAAAGCAGTTAGGCTAATCATACCCTGAAGCTACTAGGCCAATGCTATATCAATTGAATATTTATTGAGCAATGACCCCTTTACTTGATTTGCTAATATATTGCAGCAAGAAGCACAATTAAAGCAAGTCTTAAAAACAGAGGTTATCTTTAGACTGCTGAGGAAAGGAAGAAAATACACCACAAATCAAATAAATCTATTTTGTTTTATCGTCTGCCACTATAAAATTCCCCATTAAGCGGAATGTTACTCAAACGCCATTTGTAAAAGGTGTTAAAATCGCTTTATTAACAAAACCTCTGCTTGTTTACATTATAAATTAGACTATTTCTTTGGTCTGGCGCTAAAACAGTACATTAGCTTTTTTTGTGGACTCCTGACAGGTCCATTAACCCAAAGGCCCGTGAGAAATCACACTGCATTAAGGGATATTTTGCAGTAAATCATAGCAAAAAGCTCACAGTAGTAAAAGTCCCGAGTGTTTAAATAAGAGTCAAATATACTGTGGGTGGTCAGTAATATAAATAGATTCATTAAATGTGTTCCCTGTCTTCTCTTTGACAGGTTTATCAATGCTCGAAGAAGAATCGTGCAGCCCATGATTGATCAGTCTAACAGAGCGGGTAAAGTGATGGCTTATTTTCTACCAATCACTATATACACAACGTGTGCATATATCACATATATATCCTGTTTTTGTGTGTTTAGTAAGTCAAGGAAGCGCTTACAGCCCCGATGGTCAGCCTATGGGAGGCTTTGTGCTAGACGGCCAACAACACATGGGTCTCCGGCCTGGCGGTAAGTTGCAGTTTGATTCTAATCGCACATTACTCACTTTTAGACCTGTTATAAAAATGCTGAAAGCATTTGCATGTGTTTTATTGTTTGTTTGTTTTATTTTGTTTCTCCGTCTCGCAGGTCCCATGGGAGGAATGGGTATGAACGTGGGTATGGATGGACAGTGGCACTACATGTAAACGCCTCCCCGCTTCCCAAACCATAAATGTAAGGAAATGCTTTGGTACTTAGAACATCCCCTCTCTTTCTCCTTTCACTCGGCGTGTGAAATCTGATTATGGTGGCAATTCTCTCTCCGACGACCCCCCCCATACACACACACACACATGCACACACACATGCACACACACACACACACACCACCTTCTTTCCCCGGCTCCATCTTCGCTGCCTGTCTCTGACAGTCCACAAATCAAGACGTATCGCTCGCCGCGGGCGGCCTGGCATGGAGAATTTTATTTAATACCCACACTGTGCTGCCCAATGAGCCCCTCCATAATGACACTTACCTTGATTAATAGAGCTCTTTATATGTAAATAGGCACCGCATCCAGCTCTCCAATCGTGCCAACACAGCCCTTTCCTCTCAAATAACAACCTCAGCCTCTGCTAATGAAGGGAGAGGAGCGGGGAGGTGAGCGGAGGTTAACATCCCCCCACCGAAGCCTCAGACACATTGAGATATCATGAGCTCCGTCTTGCAAGAGCCAGATACACGCCGTCTAAATAATTTCCAGACTATTTCATCCTACCTTTTTTTGATTGAATTATCATCGAGTCGTTACTGTAATTGCATCATTTAGAGGAATGTTTCCCCATCCTTAATTCGCTCTGGTTAAACACCATATGCTGGCAGATTGTTGGGATCATTATGAAGATCGGTTTTCCTGTGTAAAGCGGATAGAGACACATTTATGATTTTAGAGGCAGGTGGATGTTTTTTAATTTTTTTATTCAAGGAATATTTTGGGTTGGCTACAAGGGTTGGCCCGTTTTGCAACCTTTCTTGTGAATTTGGCCATTTTCTGGAGAATCTGAAAGCAGAAATAATTTCATAAAAGCACTTACATTTATTTTTCTTCTTTTTTTATTATTATTATTTTGCTGTAAAGCTATTTAAATTCTCACTTTATAGTCGTTTTAGGGTTTTAGACATTACGTGTTATGACATTGAAGTTGTAAAATTGGATATAACTTTACTCAGAAAAAGTTATTATCAATTTGTTCACAGTAAAATCATGTTTTCTGGCTATACACTGTTAAATTAATTAATTAATTAAATTATTTAGGATTTATTTATTTTAATTTAATTTTTTTAAGTTGTAAATAAAGAGTATTGGAGTATGTTTTACAAAAAAATATATAAATACTATTTCAGTCCTTACTTCAAATGTTCATATTTAATTCAATGAGTTACTTGCTATTTCTTTGTAATTACTTGTGAAATTTCCTAGCAATTTCTGTGAAAATTGTTTCTATACACTACATTTTTTCAGTGCACTGCTGAATTATTATTTTTTTGTTTACGTAGATTCACTTCTGTTGTAAGTGCCTTACTGTAACCCAGATTTAGTTTACTTTAAAGAAAAAAGAGGGGCATAATTAAATACATTTTTCTCGTAATCGGCACATACCCAAAATATTCCCTTAATGCTTTCACAATGTGGATACTAGTGAATACATTTCTTAATATTGTATTTTTCACTTCATGTTGTAGGTTTTGATGGTGGCCTCAGGAATAGTCCCGGCGCTGGCCAGAGGCATGAGGAGTCACGTCACATTCATCCTCACCTGATCACGTGCCTGTCCGGTCACCTCCTGTCTACACGAGACCTTCCAAATCTCTCACGGACCCCTCATCATCTGGCCATCATATCTCCAGCCAAAGGACTGTCTGCAGGAGCACCAACATTACAAAAACAGACTTGAAGCATTTGTGCCAAAAGAGAGACTTCTGAAAAGACAATTGGAGATCTTTTCTTTTTAAATTATTTATTTATTCTTGTTATACTGTCAAGAAGCGCGGGGACCACACCATTTGTGCACTTTTGCTCAACCATAGAGTGGCCGCCCCAGACGCAAATATTCCATACCTCCTCACGCACAAGTGCACACGCTCATATTAAACGCTTTTAACTGTGGAATCAAGTAAAAGATGCTAAAAGCCCTCAAGAATTGAAATGTGAGTGTATGACGAGTTTTTTTCTTTCTTTCTTTTGGGAAATGTTCTATGTTTGGGTTTGTGTCATTGACTAGGTTTTAGACCTTTGCATTTATGATTCTACAAAGTTTGAAGGAAGTGGAACCACTTGATGGGATCATTATGGCACACATCTGACACAAATTCCAGTATGTGAAACCGCAAAGTCTTCCCCACATGAGATGTTTTGAAAAGCATGGCTGAGAAAATGAGTTGTGCATTTATTTGTCGAATTGGAGAGCAACAGTGCTCTTGTAAGGCTAAATATGCCTGGAGGAGTTTTTAAACCACTAGAGATATTCCATTGTACATAATTATGTAAATGTTATTTGTAAAACACATCAATGTCAAATAGGCATTCAGTCGAGATCCTTTAAAAATGGAGTTGGGATATTGTTGTACATTTTGGTCCGTTCTCACTCTTGCTTTTCTCGAAAAGTCGATCATGTGTTTGTCGAGGTACTGATAAATTCGATCGATGTTCCCGCTCGGTCCATGTTTCCTTTTAGGAGTCTTTTAAAGCACTGCGGTATTTCTACACAGTCAAAAGTCGAATTCTTGTAATAAATGCTTCAAATTTTCAAAATGTTAAATCTCTTGCTTTGAATGTTATTCCATGCATTGTATCGACGCAGTCCAAATTCATTTTAGCTATAAATAACCATTTTTATTTTGCAGAGAAAATGCAACTGTGCTACAGCGTATTTACATAATCATTAAACATTTTTGTCCGTTTAAAAAAAGAAAGAAACGCATACGAAACGACATTTCAAAAATTATGTAAAATGTGTGAATATGTGTGCATCGAACAATCCTAAAATAAACTGATAATTGGCATACTTGGCTATATAAATAACGTCTACTTAAAGGTGCATAAGAAAGTGTCAAATAATAATTTCATAACTATTTAGTCTACCCCTAAAACCATCTAAGAAGGTATTAAGATTGATGTAGAGGTCTTTTGTCAAATGTTTGAGGCGATATGTGCAGAAATAAATCACATTAATTCAATATTTCCAACTCAGGCGACTCTACCTCGTGTAATTTTTCAGAAACACAAACCCCGCGCACTTCTTCATCTCCAGCATCTTTTAAACGCAATTTCGACCGTTTCAAATGGTTTTTCTCATGCTGTTTGATATCTTAGCTAAGACTGCTCCAACAGACGTTTCCCTGCTTATTTCGACCTCCAGTTTGTGTTTCTCTAGCCTGCAGTACTGGTGAGAAAATGCTGTAGTTCGGTGGTCATTTATCAATGTCAGCGCGTAACGATCTCACTGCAGTATTGATGAGGAGAATTACGCGGCTGGAGGAGAAGCCACAGGCACAACAATACCTGCAATAACGCGACGCCCAATGCCCTTGCGTTCCATCTCATTCCTTTCGATAATGGAATTATTTTAATAAGCCCTTCCAATCCGTTTTGTTTCTCCTTCTTTTAGTTTCTTTCTTCTTTATTTTCTTTTTTTATTTTATGTCGACTGCTGAACGTATCCACATATATTTTTGAAAATAAAAGGCTAGTTTTAGTGCACAATTCGTTCAAGACGACATAATATATATATATATATATATAGTTTTATTCCTGTTGGACAAGAGTGATATTTGGCGACTGTGAATAATAAAATGAGTTTCACCTCATGAATCATCTTAAATTTATATTAAACCAAACATTAAATTGCTGTTGCTGTTTTAAATCATAAATAGCTAGTATTTAGCTGCATGTAAACATGTTTTGTAAGGAAATGCTGGAATTCCAACATAGGAAAAATGCTTAATATTAAGCTAACATCTGGAAAGAAAGAAAGAAAAAGAAAACAGGTTTAAAGCTGTATTTTTTTTTATCTCGAGCACAGCCAGCGTCGATACAGATAACTCAAATGCTTAGTGTGTATATCTTGGTCAGAGATAAATTCGTTGTGAAAGCTGCCAGAAACAAGAGCACAGCTTAATGAAATATGGGTCATCCTTCCTACACTGAGCAACATAACGTGCAAACCCGGCTAATATTATATTTACACCGCGGTGTAAAAGAAGACGCTTTTCCATTATAAAATCTGTAACAGTGTTCGAAAAAGTATGTCGTGAGCCTGCCTAAAAATGTAATAAAACTAAATGTATAAATACAAATATAGGTCTAATTAAATAATTAGGCTACTAATAAAATAAAACCGAATGAATGAAAGAAATAACACGCGTGATAATTAAAAAAAAATGGCTTATTTGAAAATACTTTTCGCATGTTTCTTCTTCTTCTTCTTCTTTTTTAACGACCGCAATATTTCCCTCTTCTTTATTTTGGCACACAGATTTGTGGTGATTTTCTTGGTTTTTCCTCTCTGGCTGATTTCACAGCATTCATTTGAAACCACGTCCTGCTATAAAAACTGAACTGAAGTGAATCTTACCAATGAAACAAAAGCGATGGTCTCTAACGGTGTGTCGTCACGCCATAAATGTAATCACAACTGGTGCAACTAGGTGCAATAACTTCTTAAACCATGGAATCACAGTCTATTACTGAATTATGGCAATAATGATTTTATGAATCAGCTTGTCATGGCAGTAGCAATTCTGCACACCCCTCCTCATTTCAACAATAGTTTACATCTCGCTTTGACTGCAGCCAAGAACTTGTCAAACACAATTTCTATTGTGTATATCTCCTCTCTCTGGATTTCTTGAGTGGTCATGTTGAGAACCTGGTCCACCTGAGGAGATGTTTATTCCCTGGTTACAGAACAGTCAGAAGGATTGGTGTTTAAATTTGAGGCCAAAGGAAATTAGGTAGGGAGGCCTCTCTTCAGCTTTATTTACAGCAGCGCGTGTGCCAAGAGGTCAGGGGTCAAAGTTGAGAACGGGGCCAACGGGAGAGCTATCTTGCTTCTAACACTGATTGTCCCACATGCCTGGAGTTCTGTGCATTCTCTCTTTTAAACCGCTCCCTATATGATAAGTAAAAGCAGGTCTCCTAATCTTCAAGAAGGAAAACAGACTAAGCTTTTGCTGATTGAAAGATGTAAACTGGTGACAAATGGCTAAATAAAATCAAAGTATCATTAAAATGATGTCATCCATGATGTCCACCAATCAGAACCCCCATTAAAGTCATTGCACAATGGCGAGTGTGCCATAAAGTGAAATGTCCCCCAGAAAAAATAAAAATAAAGTAATCTAAAAGTTTTTTTTTTTTTTTGTGGTTGTACTGTGAAGTTTTTCTTGTACAGGATAAAAACATGCAAGCAAATACACAATCAGTGCTGAAGCAATAAACACAAGCTTCGAAAGTAATCTACACTCTCTTAGAGGTCAGGTTAAAGTTTGACCTCTCTCTCTCCCACACACACCTTTCAGGTTAAGATGTCAGTGGGAAGAGAATGTTTCAGGACTCAGCCAGCACATCTGGTTCTGCACTAGGGCCTCAGTGGAGCGGCTTTAGCTGACAGACAGAGGGGCAGGCGGAGGTAAAGTGGGCCCTGGGTGGGGGTCGGGTTGGGGACGGCTATGGTTTGGCCAGGGGACATGACTCCAGTTGACACCTGAGTCAGATTTCTTAGTGAGAAGGACCTGTCCTCCAGGAATTGCCTTCCCCTCGCATGCACCCTTAACTCTAACCCCAGAAATCCCAGTGGAAAACACACAGTAAAAACAGTAGCTATGGTTGAAATTTTAAGATTACATTTATAACTGCTGTTAAAGGGTATTTGACAAATTAAATTTAGGTTTTATTTTTGCCAACATTTAGGTTTCAGTTTAAAATGTACAGTGTTGGGGGTAACGCATTACAAGTAACGCGAGTTACGTAATCAGATACATTTTTTTTAAGTAACTAGTAAGGTAACGCATTACTTTTTAATTTACAAGAGAATATCTGAGTTACTTTTTCAAATAGGTAATGCAAGTTACCCCCCCCCCCCCAATTTATTGACTGGCAGCTCTCCTGTCCCCATGTTGAGAGAAATCAGAAGATGTTACTGTAGTTCTAAAATAAATATGAATATGCATTCATTCAATCTCACTCACAAAAAAAAACACACACAGATTCAGTATTCCTCAAAATGAATAAAAATAATGCAACTCAGAATATGACACAAACCTGCAATAATTAAATGTTAAACAACACAAATATCCATTATGTATTTATTCCCATTCTATTAACCAATGTCTTTGCTTCTGACCTTCGATGATCCAGTTCAACCGTACTAATAAGCACAAATTACTCTAGACAAACATTTGTGTGTCTTTTTTTACTGCTGAAGTGTGTTGAAATTTCTTCTTCTGCATTCTACTGTACGGACGTAACTTTACTTTCCCTTCAGCCTGAGGCTTATTCATTTAACTTTTGGTGTGAAAAGGCTTTTATATTTGCCAAAAATAGAACTTTTTTATTTTAAAAACAGACAAGCAAGCCCTGTCCAGATTTAAAAAGTAGCGCAAAAGTAACGTAATGCATTACTTTCCATAAAAAGTAACTAAGTA